AGAAAGCAAAATTGAGGGGGGAAAGGCCGAACCCGAATGTATCTATGACGTCATACAATAAACATAAGTGATATTTACATGATTTGTTATTTCTTAAAAACTAACAATGCTTCTAACTGGCGAATTCTCCTCCGAAATAGTATTTTGTATATGATATTCATTGCATCCAAGGGGGTGGGGTCTAGTCATTCTTAGATTTTTTGATTGAGGTTTTTGGCATTTAAAAAAAGTCACGGATTTTTTTTTCTTAACCCTGTGTGAAATTTCCAAGGTATTGAAATACCTACTTTTTTTTCTTTCCATTGCATCTATGTATTATCACAGTAAAAAATTATTATTATTTTTTTATTCTCATTTTTTTTATAGCCCAAGTAGGTAAAACGTATTGATGCACACGAATCCCTTACAGGTGATGCAACAGGTATAGAAACGCAGGTTAAAGGTGCACACGGTCCCTAAGTTTTGGCACACTGTCCTTTACAGAGGATGTAACAGGTATATAAACCCTAGGTAAAAAAAGGTGCACACGGCTCATAGCAGGTATATAAACTAAAAAAACTGTAAAATTTTATGATCATTCTGCGTGAGCACTTCGAACTGGACACAGGTGAAAAAAGAAAGCAAGGATGAATACTTCAGAAAATTCCTAGTATTATGTGACACCTGAAGGATATGAAGGAGCTCCCATGGCAGAGTTAATAAAAGATGCCGTGGATTTGGATTTGAATTTGGACATGGTTAATTTTCCTGAGGACATGAATAAAGAAGAAGATATGAGCATTTTAAACACTACTCTGGACGGAATTGTGAACATGCTATCTGCTCTAGATAACAAACTAAATCAACTGAACACCAAGATGAATGATGTGGATAGCAAGGTAAATAAATTGAACACCAAGGTGAGTGCCCTTGAAAACAAGATGGATAAACTGAAATGTTACAACAGCAGTGGATTTTGTTACATTAGTGGCCTATTATCCCCAATCACAAGGTCATTCACAGGAAAAACAACAAAAATGAGAGAAGAAGAAGGAAACACTGACCAGAAAAAAGAAGAAGGGACCCAGGGCGGATCAGGAGAGAGTAAGAAACAAATGGATCCATGCTATGTATTGGTAAAAGACATAGAAAGAAAACCTAGGGAAACCAAAAGGAAACTACCCCAGACCAGTGAAAAGGCCCAGAAGAAACAGAAAATGTAATTGTATGTATATTTTCACTTGAATAAAATCTGTGTTCTAATCTGTATTGTGTGTGTTCTTGTTTTCAGTAAAACCAGTTCAAACTGGTTAGGCTAGACTGAGCTGTAGACTGTGAATGAATGCGTGACGTCATAATGACATTCTTTTGAATCGCTGCCAAAAAATCGTAGTAGCAAGGTTGTGAATCGTAGTGGCAGCGTATAGTAAAAAACTATATACAGTGTAAACACAGTGTAAGTGGACCCCTGTATTTAAGGGAATAGGTTAGGGTTAGTTAGGGGGGTTAGGGTTAGGGTTAGGGTTAGTTAGGGCTACGGGGTTGGGGCTAAGGGGGTTAGGGTTAGTTAGGGTTAGGGTTAGTTAGGGCTAAGGGGGGATAGGGTTAGTTAGGGTTAGGGTTAGTTAGGGTAGGGGGTTAGGGTTAGTTAGGGTTAGGGTTAGGGCGTTAGCGTTAGGGTTAGGGTTAGGTTAGGGCTAGGGTTAGGATTAGGGTTAGTTAGGGCTAAAGGGGATAGGGTTAGTTAGGGTTAGGACTGCACTCAGTTGACCCACCTATCCCCTCCACCAATCAGAACTGATCACGTGATTCCTCTCAGCCAATCAGAATCTTCCGGGCTATCTAGGCCCCTTATACTACTAATACATTTTACACCAAGTATTTTTTAAAAAAATACTTTAAGCTTAATATTTTAAATCTTCGTCACCTTAATTCACCTGAGAGCTTACTAAGGCGAAATGGGAATACGAAATTTTACAGTTAAGGCGAGATGGGAACAAACCGATGCGATGCCATTTTTATGGCATATTGTACCCGCTTTGTTGAAAATTAGGTCAAACTTTAATGATCATGGGATTAAAAATCATAATACATTTGGAAATGCTTGTCACAGGTAATGCACGTGTCAAACATGATTGTCCAATCTTCACTCCTTCAAAAGATAACAACACTTATGAAATGTTTGAAAATTAGGTCAATTTGAAGGTCAGGGTCATGGGGTCTAATATCATAGCATATTCGAAAAAAAAATTACACAGGTAATGTACTTGTCAAATATCAACAACCTATTATATATCATTCAAAATAAATCACCCAAGTTAAATGTATTTTGAAAATTAGGTCAAACAGGAAGGTCAAGGGCTAAAAAATAATAGCATGCTCAGCAACACCTCACTTGTAATATACGTCAAATATGTAAGCCGTATCTATTCTGAATCAAAAGGAATAAGCAAAGATATAATTTTGAAAAGTAGGTCAAATATCAAAGTCAAGGTCATGGGGTAAAAAAAACCATAGCATATTTTAAAAGGTATTGGCACTGGTCAAATGTGAAAGTCTTATTTCTTCTCAATCAAAAGTTATAAGCAAAGATAACATTTTCGAAAATAAGTTCAAGCGTCAAGGTCACGGGGGAGGGGTCGTAGTTTATTTGAAAAGGCCTTGTCAGAGGTAATATACATGTGAAATATGAAGGCCCTGTCTCTTCTCATTTAAAAGTTATGACCAAGGTCAAAGTTTTTGTGACAGACTGACAGATGAATAAGATTTAATGTCCCCTCGCTTTCGCAAAAGCGGGGGACAAAAAAAGTTCCTGTACACTAAAAGGTACATCTGTTCCATACTAATTCTATTTTCTCTCTGAGTGATCGATCGATAGGTCAATTCAAAAGAGAAGAGAGAGAGAGAGAGAGAGAGAGAGAGAGAGAGAGAGAGAGAGAGAGAGAGAGAGAGAGAGAGAGAATTTACTTCCATGAATTTTTTTAAATTTGTTTCGTTTATATTATTTGATGCAGCAATATTTCTTCATCACCTGCATACGGAGTATATACATGTATATCTCAGTTGATTCGATACGCAAGAGCATGCTCTACGTATTCTGAACAATTTCTTAAACGAAGTAAATTATTGACAAGCAAGTTGAATGAAACAAAATATCAACAGTCTCGTTTAAAGTCATCATTTCGTAAGTTCTATGGTCGATACAATGACCTGTCAGCAAATAGAGTCAAATGCTGACTGACGTTTTTCATACCAATTTTTAGTCCATTATTTATACACTGAATTGACGACGGATTTTTTCCGTTATTTCCTGATCATGACAACGAGTACACGACGGGTGTGACCGGCCAGCAAGGGATGCTCACTCCTCCATGGCACCTGATCCCACCTCTGATGTTTCGGAAGTCCGTGTTTGCTCTGCTCTTGTTTTGCATAATGTTTAATGAACTTTGAGATTGAATACTGTTCGTTATCTCCATATCTTTCCTGCTTGATAAACAATATTATTTTTAAAAATTAATCGGGCTTTTAGCAACACCGCTCACCGAAACTTAAAGGTCTAAGAAGACAGCGTTTTTGTAACCTATAGATGTAGATGTAGTACAGAGCTAATTATTTGCCGATATCAGACGTAATTGATTCCAATTATGCCTTTTACAAACATTCAACTGAACATTTCACATACACACTATCAATATAACACCTAAATTACAAAACTACATGTATGTATATATACATTCTTTCGGTAAAAAAAAATATGTATTATTGATATGCTTCAGTGTATGACGACTTCTCTATTAGCTTAACATTTTAGACCATAAAAGTCAGCGATACTTTCAATGTAACGAAGTGCCTTAACACATCTCAGATATCAGTTGCTCAGTTTATCCCCATATTAAATTTCTGTAATTCTGCAATTCAAACGTGTTTATGAATACTTCAGAGAAAAAAATACTCAAATTACTTTCAGTTGTAATGTAAGCATGAATCGCAATTACGCAATCACACCGACATATAATAACACATGTTTACTAAAATTGTCTCTTTTCATCTCCTGTAGATTAAGTTTCAGCAAAGATTACAAAAATGAAATTATTTATTGAACATATAAAAATTCATTATTTGTACAAATTGAAATTCATTGCATAGAAATGACTAAATAAGTATAAAAATATATTAGCAGACTATTTCAAATTGACTCAACATCGAATTCATATCATTAATGTCATTATATTAACAGCTAATATATCATAAAAAATAATGATAAATACATTTTAAACCAGTAATAACAAAACTAAGCCCTTCTAACGGAAATATTGAATATGTTATACATTTATCCTTTATATAAATACAGTCAAACCTCGTTATCTCAAACTCGAAGGGACTGAAAAAATACTTCGAAATAACCAAGAATTCGAGATATCCAGAATTAAATACTTAAGGAATATGCAGTTTGGTTCAAAATGACTTCGATAGATACATGATATTCGAGATATCGAAGTTCAATTGTACGTATTTGTGAAGTATCAATTTCTAAAATAAAGAGTACATGAAGGTACATTAGATCTTTGGCCATAATGGATAACTTGTACAAGTATACCATGGCTTATTAAAAACAGCTAATCTACATGTTTCAAATAGTAAAATACAGTTTCATTGTTACAAATGAAAACATTAGAATACAAAATAAAACTGGCAGAAAAAGAGTGTAGTTAAAAATTAGATACAGCAAAGACATTTTATTTTAGAGATATCAACTATGACCATGCAGATAAAAAACAACAACAAAAACCTAGAGTACACACTTGTGCAAGATCATTTTCATTTTAATATTTTAGTAATTATAAATCTCAATTTCATATCAGAATCTACACGTAGATAAAATATTCATATTGTTATGATCTATCAAAAGAGATACATGTACATAAATTCTATTTCATTTATTAGAAAAACAAAAATATGTACAGGGCCTAGACAAGAAGAGAATGACATAATCATTAATATAAACTCTATTTTCATGCTTTAAGTTCATGTATGATTTTTCATGCAATATTGATTACAAAATAAAATCTATAGGCTAGTTGATTTTATCAGACTTTAATTTATATCTATATGCATTGAATCTGAAAACATTGATAAATAAACAATAGATATGTCAATTTTCCAAAGCTTTTCAGCATTAAGATCATCATACATGTATAACTTTCTTCTCATTGGTTTCACTGGATTGCAATTAGCCAATTAGAGCAATTAGAATTTTAAGTTTTACTGTTTGATCATATTACATATATAAGCAGATAAATACACTAAATCGTAACCAAAAACAAACAAACTAACAAATATATAAACAACCAAACAAACATGTATACAGGCTAAGAAATGTAGGAGACAAGGAATAATGCCCTCCTTTTCCCATGTCTTCTTTAATTTTAACATACAATAATGAAATAAGATATGAAATATTTAAGCCTTGTATAGTTTCCTTTTTTGTGAAATGATCATATTTCTATCAGTATGCTTTATCTTGGACCAGTCATGTTTTGAGAGTATTGGTTCTTTTGCAATTGCATTTAAGCATGCTAATCGACCAGGTGTATGTCCAGATTTGAAATATTCAGAAAACTGGCGCTCAATGGCATTTTTCTCATCCTTTGACCAATGATGTCGTCCACCATTTCTGCTTGTACCTTAAATATGAAATAATTATATATTAATCTCAATGGCTATCAATCTATCTATCTGTTTATTTATCTATCTATCTATCTGTCTGTCCATTTATGGATCTATGATCCAGGGTTGTCCCTGAGACCTGGGAAATTTCCCCGCCTATAATGACATAATGCCCTGGTTATTCTGCTATCCCCTCTCAAACCCCTCTATCTATCTATAAATGTGATAAATGCATGATAAACAAAAAGGACTAATATTTTGGAAACACTTCTTCAAAATCTTGTAAAGATAATTCTGTTGAGTAATGGAAGACAAAAAAAGAGAATAAAATTTCAAAATTTCAAAATGTACCTTTCTTTTGCGTGACTTTTCTCTTTTTTATTGATTTGCAAGGGTCGGGGAATTCATAAACATCTTCGTCTGACTCTTCATCCTCTATTTCATTATCATCAGACTTGTTCTCATCTACTTCATCTTCTTGAATTTCAACTTCAGCTACAATTTTGACAATATAAATATATTTATGTACACAGATAAATTTATTGTCATCAGTAAAGAACTATTTCTGTCCTTAAATTAAACATTACTATATGTGTATTCATGAACATTTCAAAAAAATTACCTGTGTAATCAAACTCGATTTCATCAAAATCTTTGTTTTTGTACTTTGCAATTCCACCAGTGTTTATTAGATGTAGAACCTTAGCAACTTTCGCCAATTCTAGGGTCGAGTCAGGCAGGCGATAAAATTCTCTGTGAATTCTTATGTCATGTCCCATAAATTTGGCGAGCATATCTTGGTTTGATTCACTGAGTTCTAGTATCTGACAAATTGTTGCAAGGTGTTTTCTCAATCTAGTGGAAGTAAGTAGGTTTGGACATTTCGCACCACATTTGAGTGAAAATTTTCTTAAGCAATCTGACCCCCTGATTGGGTTTGAGTTTTTTGGTTTTATGAATAGGTAGTCTGAATCAATTTTCAGTGCCTTTCTGGCCTTCAGAAGTGCTTCCATTGTTTCTTTTAAGCTGTTTGTTAGAAGGATTGGGACTTTTGCTCCTTTTTTCCCTCTGATTTCGATTCTTGTATGGCTCTTGCATAGCTCACTTTCAAATTTTGTTAAAGATTTCTCTATGTCATTGTTAACATATGGTTTGTTTGTCAAGCCTTCATTATATTGGGTAAGAGTCAAACGCTGTGCCTCCCCACTCCTCTTTCTGTTAAACAATATTACCTGTGCAAGACAGACTTCGGCCAGTTCAGAGTACACAGCTTCCTCTATTTTGTCATCAAGTCTTTCTTTGAGGGTCATGGCAGCTGTAGAGAGATATTTGTTCAGCAGGACCACATCCTCTGCAAGAGGAACATACATAGGCTTGTTAAACTTCTCATTGTGTAAAGTTGCCAAGGCTTGGGAAGATATTCTCTCTTCCCAATCACTCTGATATAAAATCAGGAAGTTGTCTGCAATTTTTCTATCTGCTTCATTCTCTTCAATTATTGCATTAGACTTTAAGATTTTGGCACATTTGCTTAGGCTGTGCCCTAGTTTTAAGGGCAATGAGGGAGTCTGGTAGGAATTGTCTTTCTCATCATGGCCAGCCAAAGTTTTGATTGCAAGAATAAGTTTGTCCCAGTTGGCTGGATTTAAAGCCGATTTTAATGATGTGATTTCAGTATGATCTTCCTTAAACTGCATTAGCAGCCTCCCCAATTCTCTTAGTCTTTGAGAAATATACTGGTGTTGATGAAGATTTGCTCCATTTTTTTCATACAACCTTTCAGCAAATTGCAAAACAAGAGGATCATTTTGGATTTCAAGTTTGACAGCATCATCCCTCATTTTAATAAAAATGTTCTCATAGAATCCTTTGCTAGTTCCAACAATTGGTAGGAGAAGTTTCCCCATCCGAATTGGGTTCGCTTTACTTTTTTTTTCACTACTCTTTAGTTCACACTTTTTTTGGTGTTTCCACAGGTCTGTTTTCTTATACGAACCCAAACAAAATTCACAAGGTGCATAAGATGAATAGCAATTCTCTGGTTCTGGATTGTTTGTTGTACTTCTTGGTCTGTATTTTGGTACTATCTCACCATTACCATTTTTCATAACATCATAGTTGTGCTTGTAGTTTCCTTTATTTACGATTTCCTTCCACAACGTTTTTCTTTCCTTGCTCTTTTTTGGAAATGATAGAATTTTCGCTATTTCCATTTCTTTGTTATGCACTTGAATCAAATGTCTAGAAATTCTACTATATGGTTTCTCGCAATAATAACAAATATTTTTTTTCCCACTACGCCCCTTTGTTGTTTTTCTTGTCATTTGAAGTACAATATTGTTGTTAGCACCAATATTGGGAATGACAACTTCATTTTCATCCTCGTCATCATCATCATCTTCACTTGTCCCAGGTATCCAGTCTTCTGCACTGTCCTGTTTGTTCTTTCCATGCAATCCAGCACAAATAACATCTTGAACTTCAGTATCTGTTATCTCATTATCTTTGTTGTTCTTTCCATCATCATCATCATCATCATCCTCATCATCCTCATCATCACTTTTTCCAGGAATCCAGTCTGGATCTTCTACATTTTCCTCGCTGTCATCATTAGCATCGACATCAACCTCTTTATAACACTGTATTTCATCACCATCCTCTCCAGTATCACCATCATCTTTCCCCGGAATCCAGTCAATGTCTTCTTCAATTTTCGGTGTGTCTTCATTAGCCTCTTCACCATAATAATTTGCAGCTATAAAATTCAACACATACATTTAGAATTAAAATTTTATTTTCCTGCTTTAATATCTCAAGAGATTAACTGTCTCAACATTTAAACTGCATCATCATAATTTCAGAAGTCAATTTACACTTATCTTACTGTTAGACAGATAATGAAAATACTGTAGCTTTTTTTAAATCTATTTTAATATTTAGAACTTATGATTACTAAATCAACATTTTTAATGTTGTTTTGTACATTTTAATAGTCATTCTCATCTGGATAATTCATACTCATAATACTGTACACAAGTATGTATGTAGATAGGTAGATGTAATTCCCTGGTACAGGTATATCACAAGAAATCCAAAATAAAAAGATAAATTTGTGTTTCTCAGACAATTCAACTTGACATTTTTTTAAAAAAATTAAATGGTTTTATCAAAAATGACATTATGCTAGCTACACATACATACAAATACAGGCTAAAATAACATATTTTCACTAAGCAATGATATGAATATGCTGTGTTCAACATCATAGCTTTTGCTACTTAAATGCCATTGAGGTGAACTTATATAAAACATACCTAAATAGTCTGATGGTGAATTAAGCTTCTGCTCAGCTATACAATCCATCAGCCATGACAATGTTGCCGTTGAAATACCATAGATTTGTTTAATACCTGAATTTAAAAGTAATGTTTATGAACTATAGACACAGATCTGTAATAGAATGATTGAAAAGGAAAATCCTAGCTGTAATAAATCTAACTAAACATTTCACAATGTGTACTACTTACAGCAGAAGTACTTATTATCTTTCTCAGAAACATCTGCCATTGTTTCCCCCAATGTTAATGTGATTGCATTTGTCAAATTTGGGCTTAATGAACCTAATAATTGTCCTCCACTACAGATTATAAGATCCTCAACTTCCTCTGTAAAAGAAAAATAGATGCATAAATGTTGTGAAGTAAATTTGTACATCTTAAGGTGCCTCTATCAGTCCAGTCCAATACGAAAATTCGTAATATTACAAGTTTTCGTAATATAAAACTTATATTACGATTTTTCGTAATGTAGTTAAATTACGAATACGCGTAATATAGCAGATTGTAAGAAACTATATTACGAGTTTTCGTAATCCAAGACAAATTCAAGCATTGCAAGAAATTGAGTGGTGGGTAGCAAAGTATGTAGTGGGAAACAGGTTTACTAACCCCTGGATATCTTTGATCCTTCATTAAATCCATGTAAATATATTGACATTGTCTGCAAAACTCCTGCTGCTGCCTCTGATGAAGTTGATTTTCTTGCTCCTACTGCTTCCTCTCCAGAAACTGTATCTCCTCTAATTACATATTTCTCCTAAAATTAATAAAAAAAATTCCTAAATCAAAATTACCAACTTAGTGGAATATAGGATATCTATAATCAGAAAATAAGTGATTATCTTTTATTATACCTCAGGTAGTAAAACACCTGCTTCTAATGACTTGTACAACCATTCACTACTCAATACCCAACATCTATGCGCAATGCCTTGAATATATTTCATAGTTCGATCACAGATAAAGTTTTTGCTATCTGAAATAGAAATATGGAAAGATATTGTGAATTCTTCTGTAAAAAGGGAAATCAGAAAATTTTTTTGATAAACATGAATTTTGTTCTTATACATGCTATTTCAATGAACTCTTTGGTTTACCTGTGATCATGACAACATGAGTAATGTTCTTGCTGAATTTCAAATGACGTTTTGTCACTCCATTGAAAAATTGAAAAAATTTGCAAATTTCTTCCTGCAAAAAAAACATTTTACTTCATTTTTATTTTGAAATATGCAAACTAATCATAAAAATATAAAATGACAAACTCACATTAGCAACGACATAACATGTACTTGGAATGCTACAAATTTTGAATTGCAAAGCTTACAGTGAATACAATAAATAATTTGAATAGGGTCATAAAACCCAATAAATTGATCAATTGGAATTTCAAAAAAGTATGCAAATGTATATAATGTATCCTTGTCTACTGCAAAATTTCAAGAAATGTTATTACATGACTTCGTGATTTCAGAGAAATTTACCTTCTCTGTTAGAGTGGACTTGCCAGACACTGTGATATGAGGGATGTTTCCTTGAAGACTAATTCCATTGTCCTCTTCCTCTATGCAGGAACAGTGACCTTAAATTAAATATATTTTGTTTGAACTAGAAATATGTCCAGACATGAATGCCCCGCCGAGGATGTAAAAAGCAACATGAAAATTTGTGTGTGTATAAAATTTGATCAGAATATCTTGAATAGTGATGCAGCTTAATTGCTTGTTTGGAAAATATAGGTCAATCCAGCATCTGAAGCAAGTCTGGTAGTGTCTATCCCTAGATGCATCATCCATGCAAGTTTGGATCAGATAGGACTTATAGTTACTTGGGAATGAAAATATAAGTCAGATCCAGCATTGAAGCAAGTCTATCCAGATGCATCATCCATGCAAGTTTGGTTCGGGCAGGACTTATAGTTACTTTGAAAATATAGGTCAGATCCAGCATACGAAGCAAGTCTGGTAGTGTCCATCCCTAGATGCATCATCCATGCAAGTTTGGTTCAGGTAACTTTAACTTTGGAAGAAAATATAAGATCCAGCATTTGAAGCAAAGTGTCCATATAGATGCATCATATATAGGGCTTATAGTTACTTGGGAATGAAAAATAGGTTCCAATCTGAAAAGTCTGCTTATTCCATCCCTGATGATCATCCATGCAAGTTTTCCAAGTAGGGCTTATATTTCCTTAGGAATGGACCTGCTCCAAAAACTTAAATTTGGTGTTCATCTGAAAATGTAGGTCAGATCCAGCATCCGAAGCAAGTCTGGTAGTGTTCATCCCAAGATGCATCATCCATGCAAGTTTGTATCAACATGTGAAGTTTGATAAATCCATCATGAATGGTATGTTTTAAACTGAGCTAAACACTAATTAAACAAAAGTGAAGTCAAGGTCAAAGGAAAGGTCAAGGTCAAAAAATGTTGATGCAGTTGCATACCTCTCATCAATATCTATCAGCATATAAAGTTTGATGAAAATATCTTGGATGGTTTCTTTGAAACTTAGCTTTTAAACGCAAAGTGTGACAGAAGGACAGAAGGACGGAAACGGAAGACGGATGACAAACACTATATGCCATATTCATGACGGGGCATAAAAAAATGTATGGAAGGACCATGACCCGGAATGAACCCAGGACCCCTGCATCACTAGTCAGGTTCTCTACAGATTGAGCTATCCAGGCTGATATTACAGTTTTATATACTTAAGATTGAATTCTTATAACTTAAGAATAAAAAAGTATACAATATATATTATAGAGAAAGAGATTAATACCAAAAGCTTATTTGTGAAGATTAATACATATATTAATTGTGTTCATCTGAAAATAAAAAGCTCATACTCTAGAGTTCCCTATACATACCTCCCCCCTTTTTCTCTGAAACACCAGGGGAACACCTTTCATCAGCACGATCACTGTCTACCATTGCAGGACCACAGTCTTCCTTTGTATCATCCTCTTGAAGACCACAGTCTTCCATGATAACATCCTCTTGACCTTTATTGTCAAGGAAAAAAGAAAACTAAATGCATTGATAGGTTAACATATGCACATGTATCATATTCAATTAATTTATCTTTTTAAAAAAGCTTTAATACTGAGAGAGGAAGGACTGTCCAAAACAAGATTTTTAAATATTAATTTATCTACATACCTCTCCCCTTTTTCTCTGAAACACCAGGGGAACACCTTTCATCAGCACGATCACTGTCTACCATTGCAGGACCACATTCTTCCTTTGTATCATCCTCTTGAAGACCACAGTCTTCCATGATAACATCCTCTTGACCTTTATTGTCAAGGAAAAAAGAAAACTAAATGCCTGGACTGGTTAACATATGTACATGTATCATATTCAATTAATTTATCTTATTAAAAAAATACATCATTTTTTCTGAAATAACTACCAGTTAAGCTTTTTAAAATGCTCAGAGAGGAAGGACAGTTCAAAACAAGACTATTCAAATATTTATCTACATACCTCCCACTGTTTTCTCTAAAATATCAAGGGAACACCTTTCATCAGAATGATCACTACAAATCATTGCAGGACCACAGTCATCCTCTTTAGAATCCTCTTCACCTTTAATTATTGTAAAAAATAGAACTAAATGCCTGGGCTGGTTAGCATATACATGTATCATAATCAATTAATTTATTTTTAAACAAATCAGGAAGATCAGTCTGACATAATTTAAAAAAAAAATTTACATACCTCCCAATGTTTTCTTAGAACCCCCCTGGGACCTTTCATACGATCACTGTCTCCCAATGTTTTCTCATGATAACAAACACCCTGGGGATTCCTTTTTTCATCAGCACGATCACTGTCTACCATTGCAGGACCACATTCTTCCTTTGTATCATCCTTTTGATCTTTAATTATTGTAAAAAAAACTATAAAACACATACATGTATATACCAATGTTAGAAATTTCAGCAATACAATTAATTATACATGTTAATTTGCCTAAAAAATTTCATAACCTACCAATACAGACAGCTTTAACAAAATACCTTGCATATTATTCCTGAAACTTACTGGTAAAACATAACAAAGTAACAAAAAAATGAAAAAGTCTTAATAAAGTCCAAAAATTAGAACAAAAAAAAGGAAGTCATTATAACCTTAAATTATTATTACAAAGAAAAATAAAAGTGTTTTACATAAGAAAGAAAATAATTATCTAAAATGTTGTTTTACTCACCTGAACTTTTGCCCCTCTAGACAAGAAGTTTATTTTAGAAATATATATTTTTGAAAAATGTTAACTATATTACTTCGCAGTTATAAAAAAGGCAATTGATTATAGGGGCACATGGCTTTGTTTTTGACAATCTAATGATTTGAACAATTTCATGCCGAAAAAAACTAGAATTTAATTCCAAATGTAGATTTCAAATAAGGAATGTTTAGATTATTTTATCCTTTAAAATGCGACGATTTTCAAAGAAAATTTTATTAGAAGAACCCAATGTTAAAAATATCGTTTAAAATGTAACATTTTTGATTACATCCTCTCAAAAATTAATTACATAATTCTACAACGATCGATCTTGTATTGTATTCAATAGCACAGTTGTCCCCAGCCAACAGACGTTTCCCACCTCCCTCGCGAAAGAGTTCCGCTAATAAAAAAGGCAATTGTATTTGCTAAACTTAAAAACTTACTGAATTTAAATTGGATTTCCATGGGTATGAGTTTAGGCCATAATCATACAAAAGTTCTTCTCCCTGCTTCATGTCTCTATAAAATATTTGAAGTGATATATTTAATTATTTACACTTGATATGCCAATCTCTATACATATAAAATATACTACATATGTATATAGGTATATTCAACAAATTAGAGAAATATTAAATACCTTGTAGCAAAAAGGCAAAGGCAATCCCTATAAAGTTTCATTTTGCAATTTATTTCTGTTTTCGTTCCATGGTTGACGAGTCTACATAGTCTTCCATCTTCTTTTGTTGCATCAATGCTAAAACCATCAATCTTGCATTTGAAATTGAAGTGTACCATAAATTTAATTTATTTCAATTTGAAAAAAAAGAAATCCAAATCTAAGATTTTATTATTGCCATTGTCAAAAATATTGTATGCATGGGTATAAAACTTGCTACTTAGATCTAAAATAAATTAATACCAATTCTCCTACATTGTACAGATCTATATGGCTCAATGGCATGGAAACAGGGGCCATATATTCAAAAACTGGCAATTTCGTGCAAATGTATAACAGGTACACACTGCACAAAATTGCAACTGATTGTGGTATTTGTGATGAAAAACATACATTATAATGCAAAATTGTGTCAATAAAAAAATTTCATGGGCAAATAAATTTTTTTAAAGTTACCATAGCAGCTAAACAGTACAAAATGTAACACAACAAATATTGGATAAAACAACAGCATCTCAAAAAAAATTAAGTACATGATTGATACATCTTTAAGTTACCATAAATCTCTGTAAAAATATCTGTATCCTGATGATTTTTTTTTCTCTCTTCTCTCACCCTCCTTTTTGGATAAAAGCTGACCTGCATACACAAGCAAAAAGTCTCCCCTTTGTCTGGACACAGTGGTCCTAATTCCTCTTCCTATTTGAATGCATATAATTTTTTTTTTACTAAAGTTCAACACACAAACATAAAAAAATAACTTTTATGATAAGAATACATGCATTCATGCATTACAAGAAAATACAGAAAATGGTTTTAGCAGATTGACAGCTGGAAACTCCAAGGGCACAGTCATCTTAAATTCTTGCTTAATTTAGAATGTCAATCATAAAGTTATAGAGTCAACTTGTTAATTATCACTTATGCAACAAGAGGCCCATGGGCCACATTGCTCACCTGTGAAACTCTGACCATTCTGTTCATTACCAGATTTCCCCCTTGTTATACATAATGTATCCCCACCCTACCCCACTGAACATAATTTAGACATTTCGAAATCTACACTACCCAATGATCCTTCCATGGGCACATATGTTTCAGCTATTTTTGGCCCAGTGGTTCCTGAGAAAAAGATTTTCAAAGATTTTTCCCATATATTTCTATGTAAAACTTTGATTCCCTATAATGGCCCCGCCCTTCCCCCGGGGGTCATGGTTGCTACAATCCAGAATTTACACTACCCCAGAATGCTTCCACATAAGCTTCACTTTTTCTGGCCCAGTGGTTCTTGAGAAGAATATTTTCAAAGATTTTTCCTATATATTTTTATATAAAACTTTGATTCCCCATTGTGGCCCCGCCCTTCCCCCAGAGGTCATTATTTGAACAAATTTGAATCTACATTATACCAGGATGCTTCCACATAAGTTTCAGCTTTTCTGGCCCAGTGGTTCTTGAGAAGAATATTTTCAAAGATTTTTCCCATATATTTCTATATAAAACTTTGATTCCCCATTGTGGCCCCGCCCTTCCCCCACGGGTCCATGATTTGAACAATTTAGATCTACAATATACCAGGACGCTTCTACATAAGTTTAAGCTTTTCTGGCCCAGTGGTTCTTGAGAAGAAGATTTTCAAAGATTTTTCCTATATATTTTTATATAAAACTCTTAATTCCCCATTGTGGCCCGGCCCTTCCCCCGGGGGTCATTATTTGAACAATTCAGAATCTACACTATACCAGGATGCTTCCACATAAGTTTTAGCTTTTCTGGCCCAGTGGTTCTTGAGAAGAAGATTTTCAAAGATTTTTCCTATTTATTTCTATATAAAACTTTGATTCCCCATTGTGGCCCCGCCCTTCCCCCGGGGGTCATGATTTGAACAATTTAGAATCTACACTACCCCAGGATGCTTCCACATAAGTTTCAGCTTTTCTGGCCCAGTGGTTCTTGAGAAGAAGATTTTTTAATGACCCCACCCTATTTTTGTCTTTCCTTGATTATCTCCCCTTGCGAGGGGATATGTCCCTTCATTTTAACAATTTAAATTCCCCTTCACCCAAGGATGCTTTGTACCAAGTTTGGTCAAAATTGGCCCAGTGGTTCTTGAGAAGAAGTCGAAAATGTGAAAAGTTTACAGACGGACAGACAGACAGACGGACAGACGGACAGACAGACAGATGGACGGACGACGGACAAAATGTGATCAGAAAAGCTCACTTGAGCCTTCGGCTCAGGTGAGCTAATAAAAAGAATCACAAAGTCATAAAATCAGTGCTACCTGGTGTCAGTAAAAGTTCAAATGAAACTGACAGTATATATCTAAACGTTATCAGCAAATCTTTATCATATTATAAGTAATTTAACGATTCTAACCTTTGTTTTCAAAAACATCAATTTCAAATCCTGGTGGATCTTTTTTTACCCAAAGCTGAGATTCCTCTAGGGGATTTACCCATTTCTTTCGCATTTTTTAGCTGTAATGAGCAAATATAAAAAGAATCTTTAAAATTTAATATAATGGTGCATACAATCTCCATGATAAAACTGACCATAGTTGCACATATTGCACATGACTGTTGAAAAACTGTAACTTTAAGAGCAATACCCAAGGACTTATCTGTATACATTGAATAAACAAAGGAGCTAACCAAGACTACACATATTTTGTACATGGTACATCTAAAAAATTCATTTTCGCCACTTAGAATTTCTTTTTGCCACTTTTGAAAAAAATTTGCAATAAGCAACAATGGCGAAGCACAGCTCGAACCCTGCCCGGGAACGACCAAATCCGGACACGTTTACCCTGGACGGGTAAATTTCCAAGATAATGATGAGAGTAGTAAATATTCCTGAACCAACCCATTTGCATAGACTTTTTTTTAAAAATTTAATGCTAATATCTTTATGATCTTAAATTAACATGCTCCAAGCTATATCTGCAGATATATACATGTAATTTCAGGGAAATGATTACCTGAATATGAATCTATCTGTAGCCTACAGTCTTTCTCTTGTCAAATCATTAAGATACATAACTTTATTATATACCTAATGTGTATCACCCAATTTTACTGTTGAATTTACGCTATCACGTGACGTCGTGATCCGATTTTCCGGATCACCAACATGTTGGTCTCTGAATCCATATCACCACTCTCTGAAACTGATGACGTATTACGCAGAAATATGACGTTATTTTTCTTGCGCGTTAAAAAGTCCCTTGTAATTATGCTTTGTTTAATGGATAAATATTATACAATTGATTTCTAATGGTTTATTTTAATATATTTAGCTAGTTATAATGAGGTATGTAATAAATCTATCATTATAACAGTAACTTGATCCGAAGGGTCGTATCACGTCTCGTTGACAGGCGCGGATCATCAGATCAAACTCGACGCTTCGCGTCTCGTTAGATCTGATGATCCGCGCCTGTCAACTCGACGTGATACGACCCTTCGGATCAAGTTACTGTTATAATAATATATATATATATATATATCAGCATTTAAAAAAAAATTGTCGGCATTTTTGTGTAAATTTCATTTATTTTCTCCATTTGTTTATTTATTTAATTTTTTTTTTTTTTTGGGGGGGGGGTAGGTTACTTTTTTTAATTAATTCTACATTATTCTCTGCACTCAGTTATCTGATTGCGATTTTTTCGGAATATTCTAGTTTGTCACGGGCAAACACATTCGGTTTTGAACCGTCTCAGGTGTAAAAAATCGTCGATTATTTTAATTATTGACATTAATTTTTGCAATTGTCGTAATATCTAAGTTCTTAAAGTTAATAAACAACGATGAAACACAAACAAATCCCATTATTTGAGTGTAATTAGCTTTAAATCTCCAAAATGAAGAAACTGGGCTTACTACCCATTTTAGTCACCGGGAAAATAACAATTGTTAATTAATTATAATTGAAAAACATAATATCTGGTGTTAAAACTCTCAGCAAAGACACATTTTGTTATATTAAATTACATCTGTAAGTTTCGTGACGAAGAATTCAGTATTATAAGCGAAAACATGGTTTTCAGTGTCAAAATTCCCGGCCCTGGTTTTACTACCCATTTTAGTCACACTCTTAATTTCCTAGATTCAATTGTACTTGTTATGAAAATTTTGTATATTGAATACTAATATTGCCACTGATATAGATTCATCAGGGATAGTAGTCAGTGTAGAGAAAATTCTAACTGTCAATACATTTAACCCATGGATGGGTTCACTTGATACAACGATTCCCGTCTATAGACTATATTTGGCGGGATATTATCATGTTAATGGAAACATTTGCATTGATCATATTACATAAATAAAAAATTAAAAAAAACCTTATTTCTAATCTTGAACATACTGAACACAGACGCCCGAGACGTTGCCTAAGCCACGAAGAGAGGAGGAACTCAGGAAGACAGGTTTTTTTTTCCTAGGCTATGGGTATTTTGATCACAGATTGTTTCGTCCACGGTCATTTTGTCACAATCATTGTTAACTTATGACGTTATGTTATTCAGTTTGATTTACACCAATATACATGATATATCCGTGTGACATCTTTAATTCTTTATAAACTTTTTAAAAAAATAAACTTCTTTGCTTATAGTTCTATATTATAAGCATAATATAAAAACAATTTTCATTCGTTTTGCTTGATTTCATTGTAAGGAAAGTCTGTAATATCAAATTATAAAAAATGCTGAGAGGGAAAGGATGATTGCACTTAAGGACATACGTTATCCAAACATAACTTTTTATCATTGAAATGACAGTAATTTGTTTAGAAAAGAATTTGTATTTTAATGAATGAGATGAACACAGAACTAGAGTACGTTGACCTAATTAGCTAGAAGTGAAGACATGTTTTTTTTTCCTTCTAAGTATTAATGAAATTCATAAGCAGTTCATTTTGTCACATTGTTAACATATACGTTATGATTATATCACACAATGATATATGCTATACCGTGTGACATCTTTAATTCTCTATGGAAAATAATTTTTATACATGAAAATAAAATTTTGTTACTATTTCTCTATAATCAAGCATAATATAAATATAATTTTCAAATCAAACTTTGTTTAAAGATTCTGTAAATCTTTCATTTTGAAGAATTATATTAATTTTAAAATATAACTGTAACGTTAGGATATTTTCACTTATGGCATACTTATCCAAACATAACTTTTTATCATTGAAATGACAGTAATTTCTTTAGAATTTTGCAGATATAGATCTATTTTACTATGTACGTGTGAAATTACTAAAGTGTTACATTCTAAGATATAAAAATTCATAAGCAGTGACTTTTTCATTCTTATACTTTTATTTAAATTTTTTTTTAGGCTTTTTTTTTTTTTGCTTGTCTGGAAAATTTTTGGTATACATAAAAATAAATCAAGGAGATATCAATATAATTTTCAAATCCCAAACTTTGTTTAAAGATTCTGTAAATCTTTCCTTTTGAAGAATTATTTACGTTTAAAATATAACTGTAAGGTTAGGATATTTTCATTATGGCCTTAGGAACAAGGGGGGGGGGTATGTAGACTATGTCCCCCCCCCCCCCCCCCAATAATTTTGCTGATATAAATATTTACTACATTATAAATTTGCCTTCTACGGGCCTATTCATAACTATTGTATTTATAACTTAATATATTAAAATAAAAATCCTAGATGAACAATTGTGGAAGAAACTCGTTTCCCACTAATGGTTTTTAAAAAATAAAAATTAATTATGGATGTACTTATTTAGCAAAATACCGAATGCATTTTCCCAGCTTATTCTTGACAAAAAAGTATAAGTTGTCAATCAGCAATGAGGTTTTATGAGTTGTAAGTATGTATTCCATAGCCATGAAATCATAATTTTAGTAAACATACCTTGTAATCACGGTGACATCAGAAAATATATCCGAGAGGTCATTCATAAGTCACCGCGTGTATCACTTTTGTCATTGAACATTAACTTCCGATATTCCGTTTACGCATGCGCAAATTTTTCTGTGTAAAGAAGGGAATTGCAGTAGAAAATTACACACACACTGTGTAAATGAAATCAGGAAATTGGCTCCAAATGAACACTCATATATTTTTTATTTTTTCTGATGAAATTTAATCAATTGAAACTTCTGGAGCCTTTCCGACAAGCAGAAAATGTATTTCCGACCTATGACGGAAATACCCGAGATAATGCGATTGGAAATGAATGAGAGCAACACAAAAATGACGTTAAATCAACTGAACACCTGTGTTCAGGTGTCCATTTGAATTCCAGGTGATCAGTTGATTGGTGTGTATTCTTTGTGTCTGGTTCAATTGGTGGTGCTTACAAACACACACAGTGTGTGTGTGGGTGTGAGGGTGTGTGTGTGTGTGTCTGGAGGACTTGTGTAAAGGAGGGTGCATTCGAAGAGCGTATGTCAGGGTGAGTGAGAATGTGTGTGTGTATGTATGAAAATTAACTTATCAACTGATAACTGATCATGCAACTGATCAGATTGGTAGCTCGGCGTCACGTCTGCATGTTCCACTGTGATCAAATATGGATGATTGCTCCGGAAGAGAAGGAATGTGCTGCATTGGGTAGGCTGTGAATGTCTTAGTTTTGACAAAAAGACCCGATTCGAGGAAGAGAGAACATTATATTTATGACAATGTAAATCCATAAATCCTTGCTTCTTGGAAACAGTTCAAGTTCTGCAGTTTATTATGTCATTTTTTTTTATTGTTTTGTAGCAATTGATCAAAGCAATAAAATCATACAAAGGTTTTCATTCATGTCTGTTTATGAACATAATCATGCCATATAATTTCTAAATAATCGTGTACATACTTACTATCCTTCATTTTCATCGCCGTTACCATTGTAAAATATGTTATGTATTTTTCCACTCCACTCGTTGACAATATTCCGTGCCCCTAGGGATCCATCTCTTGCATTGTAGAGAAGAATGATTCAGAACACAGGGTGTTGGCAGCTCTAAGGCAGTAGGTACCTTTCTTGGGAATGACATAAAGGTATAACTTAGCTTCCATACTGGTTCTGAGGCCTTCATAAACAGTGATAAAGTATATATGACAACCCTTTACTTCTTGCCCCGTACGGAGGAAATTCACCAAAGTTTACTCCCTCATCAAGCCATTTGATAAGTGCCATGCGATATCTACATCTTTCTAAAGCACTTATGCCTGGTTGATCGTCTGCAATATACAGAGCCTCCCTTATAACGTTGCAAAAGTTTACCTCATTGATATCATGATTCTGCAAAATGACAGATTCAACATACTTGCTAAACATATTTCTTACCAGAGCTTCCTTCATTTGGTCCACAATCTTTCCCTCCTCTGATACTTCCAATAAAGCAGGTTTTAAAATATTTGGGTTTGAATTTGAGACTTTCTTTCATCCTTTTTTTTTTAATTCTATCTACTTTATCAACACAGACTGCTTTTCTCAGATTGCTACCTACACATGCGTCTTATCGTACAAAAACCTCAAATCCACCTTCCTGATTTAAATCTGGTACGTAGTATGGGACCATTGTGTCTTCTATACCCATAATCTTTATTTCAGGAAGGACATGAGCGGTGCTGCACCATAATTGCAACCGGTCAGACCAAATGAACTGACAAAATGCAATATTTAACACTTGCTTTGGATATTTCTTCATCATAATAGCACGCCTTGCTGTCTTTCAGTGGCAGGACACGTCCTTTTCTTCTGCGTCTATTCATCTTTTGAAAATGAAAATTTAACGAAAAAACTTGCTTCTAAAATAGGGGTTTTGTCAAGATTAAGATCATTCATGTCCTCTGAGTTATTGTTAAAATTTTTTAATACAATTGTTTTCCCCTATTTCCATTATTGTTGTACTGTTTGGGGCAATATGAAAAACAAAGAAGGTCTTAGCAAACTACGAGGGGCGTTCAATAAATAATGTCATTAGCTCGATGACATACAACTTAGTAGTCATATGACATAAGGCTTGACTTTCTCTCATCATTGAATCTTTAATGAATTTATAACAGTTTATGTGACCACTTTTCATCACATAGTTTTATCGTGAGAAGCTGGGAAACAAGGGCTATTCGAGACACTGCATTATAAATGAATGGTAAAGAATCAGTAAACTAGAGTGAAAATAAAAGCTTCATTAAAGCTGCTGTAAAATTTGTTAAAAATACCAAAGAAATATTCACTGAAATATGTGACATTTCAGCAACTAATGCCTGTTTTATAGACAAATTAGAAGGTGGATTTCAAAGTAAAAAATTATATATATCAAAAATGTTACCCTTTGCCAACAAAATTTATAACAACTTATGTAATGTTAATTTCAACAAATAGTATTTGATGTTGTATGATTGACTTTAAGACACATAGCAAATTTGATAGACATCATATGATAGTTTACATGTTTTTAAGAAACGTTTGACAGTAATTAAGCTTGGTGTACAAAGGTCACCCAATGTATTTTGAAAAATGAGTGAAAACGACAGAGTGTACAAAAGCCTTAACAATTATTTTAAAATATCAGTAATTGTAGTAATCCACGTTTGTTTTATATTCAAACAGATATTGGAACATGAATCTATTGCTTAAATCCATTAAAACAAAATTTACCATAAGATGTTCTTGATAAAAACGGTGAAGGTCTGTCAAGAGCAAAGGTATGCAAAAGCACAAAAACAGATTTATATGCAATTTTCTTAAATATTAGTGGTAATATTGTTCAAATTCGTATTCGGGTAGACAGTTTAATATCTGGAGGTGTCTAGAAAGCAGTTTTTTTTTGCAAATAAATCGAAAGGTTTATCAGAGAAAGGACCCAGAATCAGGAATCCACTACATTGAATTTTTTCATGACAGCGTTTAAACTCGCATGCCCTAAAGAGTAAAGGGGATTATGGGATAAACAGAAAGTTAATGCTTTTTCACATTAACAATATTTGCCAGATCTTTGACCTTTTGACTTGTTTCTATTTCCAAACTTGAATAAAACACCTTTCAGAAGAAAAAACAAGTCAAGGAAATCATTGGATCTGCCATTTTCTAGTATACTAAGGGTCATACCCAAAAATGAGCTCTAAAAACAATCAGAAATTAGATAAAACATGTTACGGACATGTGTTTGAATTAAAAAAGATTAATAAGTAAAATCATGAAGACTAAATCATTGAAAAGCGTCGTTTGCTTCTTTCTGAGCTCCAATGACATTATTTATTGAACGCCCCTCGTATGTAAACTTCAAAAGCGAGCTGCAAGAGTGATTTTAAATACTACATTTTATACACCTACATCGGAAATGTTTCAACAACTGAGATGGATGCCAATTGATGATTATTTTACGTATAGAACTGTCATCCTTGTTTTTAAAGTCTTAAATGGATTAACTCTAGATTATTTAGATGTTTTTAAGTTTGTACATGAAATAAACAACAGATGTACACGATTGAGTCAAAGCAATTCATTGTATATTCCGAGGGCAAAAACAGAATATTTTAGAAGATCTTTTACAATTTACGGTTCCCAGCTATGGAATAAATTGCCAGAAATTTTAAAGAATTGTCCATCATTGCAAGGTTTTGAATCAGCATATATAAGAAATTATTTCCAGTCTACAAACTAAAATGTTAATCACATAGATCATTCTTCTGATGTTTGGTTTAGACGCAG